GGATATAATATCCAAATCATTACAATTACCCGAATTTTAGTCAGATAAGTATTTGCAATTTATTATTAACTTATCCCATTATATAATATACTCCTCGTTATTAACAAACCAAATTTAGATACTATGAAAACTAATTTCAGATTTGGCAATCGGGTTCATTCACGAATTATTTAGTATGGGCCAGGATTGCTCGATCTTCGCTAACAATTACGGATAAAAAATTTAGCTTAAGGATAATTAATATGCGAATTAAACCCTACATTGTTTCGAGGTATTTTATATATTTGAATGTATCTTCCCAAAATTATATGAATCTAGAGGGTTTCCATAATTATAGTCTTCAATATTAGACAATATTGCATTTATAATTCTTTTACTAAAAACTATATTTTTATTTAGCATACACATTTCTACCTTTACGAGCTCATCAAATATTATTAATGCATTATTATATATAGCCTCAGTTTTATTATCATTTATATCTGATTCTCTATAGCATTTGTCTAATTTCTCTAATAAATCATGATATTTTATATTAAAGCTTTTATGTCTCTTATAAAGTTCATAACAAATTTCTTTATACCATGTGTAATTAATATGAATACAGTTATTTAGATCTTCTACTGGCATTTTTTGGATGATTTTAGCGATAGTATCCGGAAGTGTAAGTGGGTTGAATATATGCATGTTATATTGTATATATCAAACGTATGGATTTTATTAACTAAGACTTTTTATTTAATTGTTATATTTATTTATTATTAATTATAAAAAATAGATTTATACATTAAGTAGAACAATTTAGTGAGATATTTATTCCTCTGGAATTTTGAATTGGATATTTATTCTTATTAAGAAAAAAATTTATTATAGGAAATGTTAATATTTTCATTTGGCACATTGAGTGGGCTAGACTCGATGATTCCGATTGCATTCTAAACAAGTAAGCTGTACATTTCCTTTAATATGTCCCAATTCATTATTAATTCTATCTACTGTCCATTGGTCTGGATTTCCAGCTTCGTCCCAATCCCATAACAATTCATTGAGACATAATTTACATTTATTTTTCTGCGAATCTTTTAATACAAGGATATAATCAACAGATAAGTTAAATTCACGACCTTTTTTCTTATCTTGATCCATATATCCTACGAGTTTTCCAGAAATAAATAGTCTTAAGGATCGCTCAATTGCTTTCTTATTTTTTGCATCTTTAATCTCAGGAGGTAATGGGGGACCTTCAATTCGAATAAGTTGGCCCAAATATTCTACATGACCAACTGCAAGATAAATTAGATTATCCCACGCCAAATGTTCATCGATAACCCAAACTCGTTGTGGAGCTTTGAGAGTCATTCCCTGACTGGTATGAATGGTCATTGCATATCCAAGTTCCCAATCTATAGCCTTTTCTTTTCCTAACATGCCTTGTAAGAATTTATCAGAAAGTGTATTTAAGGGTAAGTGTATTATATCATTTTTTACTAGCTCTCTTTTCTCAGATGAGCCAGGGATTGGAACAAGGCAGTTTTGTTTGCGCCCATCTTTTGGCCTATAAATTAATAGAATTGGAATTTCGGAATATTTTGTACAATGAAGCTTGAGACATATTTGTGATGCAAGTCTTCGAGAAAGTCGAAGTGCTGATAAAATTTGATCTGAGGGAGACCATTTCTTTTCAAGATATTTCCATTTTTCTATAACTGGAATTGCTCCACAAAATAATTCTGATTGCACCCAATTATTTTTACGACACATTTCTTTTTTGAGTTCACGTAATTTAGGACATTTGGCCTGATAATCAGTCAAGACTTCTTCATAATAATCGGCATGCTCTCTTAACCAATTATGTGGCATTTCTCTGAAGAATGGTGGAGGTTGCGCATCGTCACCACAACAAATTACCTGACATTTATGTTCTAACAAATAATTAATGAACATTTTAAGAATATGCTTAGGAACCGTACATACCTTATCCCAAATAACAACTCGTGGAAATTTCTTCTCTCCCATGTGTTCAGGTGTCCACTCTTCTACACCATTCCATCGAAAGAAGCTATGCCAGATTTGGGCTTTCACATTACATTTTTCTCGAAAATCTTTGGCTAATGCATTTGTATGAGTAAAGACAATCATATTTATATTTTTAAATATTCTAATTGCTCGTGTTGTTTTACCGGATCCTCCTTCTCCATTAAGATATGAATTTCGACATCTTGTAATAGGATCATGAATTGTTGGTGCAATACTATCTGGAATATCTTTGATCGATTCCTAATGCCTATTCTTTGGCCAGTATACAATATTTGAATTTGGACCATATATTTTTTCGCTCTTATCACGCCATTGACCGGGTTGAATTTCTCGGATTTCTTGTTCTTCTGGTTGATGTAAAAGAGCATAGGAGTCTGATCTATGTGTCTTGGCACTAGCTCCGCTATAAAACCATTTCCCAAAGCAAAATCTGCAAATAAATGGTTTATGCCTTTTGCAATTATATTTTGCTAGAGGCGTTTTAGTTTTTAGAAACTCTTTAATCCATTTTGCATATTCCAATTTTGAAATAAAGAATTCTTCTGGATCACTACACATTGCACAAGAAGGATAGTGTGAACATAAATTTGGATCTGACTTTACCTCAACTTGCTTGAAGAATGCCGGTATATTTTCGATCTTATATAAAGCATCTTTTCGTACATATATAGAATCTGTAGCAATTCTTACTACTTCATTAGGATCGAATCTCCGAAGCATCTCTAACAAATTAATATGTGCATATGCTAACATTGAAGCCCGTAAATGAGTATATTGAGGTTGATGACCCTCATAGTATGTAAGTATAAAACCAAGTGGACATTTTTCTCTTCCGGCAAAAGTTCCGGCATCAGTACAATCTTTGACCAAGAAATTGAGCTCACCTTCATCTGTTACAAGTCGATGAGTAAGTTGTTTTTCATCAATCTTGCCACCTTGTATAAACTTACCTATAATTGCACAACTAATATTTCGATTTTTTGGTAACCATACTTTTGTTTGTTTGGTAAGAGAAATAATTGCTTCTCCAATTGTTACACTTTCTAGAATACCGGTCTCAAGAAGATATCGTAGAAATACAATAGGTGTCCATCCTTTACTTTTTACACATCCATCTCCGCTTCGACATGCAAAATGTTTTCCATACCAGACTGAGATTACTGGATGTATATTAGAAGCAAATTTGAAAGATTTTATCTGTGCAAATCCGGTGGTATCATCTTTTGGTAACTTTCCATTTACTGCTACTCGGACAAGATGATGTGTTGGGTGCCCAAATCGATTAAACCATGGTGCACATTCTCCTTGGCCTCGCATACTTGCTGAATAGCATTCTTTCATATCAATACATACGACATTATTAATGTGATAACTGGGTGCATTCCAGCGTCCACCATGCCCATGCTCAACACAAGCTTGTCTTATAACATCATTTATTTTTCCAGATATTGGACGCCATTCATTGATTTCATTGGCAAGTCGACTTCCAGCATGGTTTGCACCAAATACTTGCTCTGCTAAGTCAACTACTTTGAGAGACTTTAAAAGAATCGATTTTTTTTCTTCATTAATTATATTTTCATGAAATTGCCAGTTTACCGCGTCTTTAAATAATTCCTTACATGCTTTTATAATATCTGTATGCTTTATCCATGTCCTAAATGCACGGCCGTCTTCTAAAACAAATTGAGAAACTCTTTGGTTTTCATCTCCTACTCCCATAAGCCAGATTGCTTGAGGACCTTGAAGGGCATTATTGATAGCTTCCCAAGTATCGTCTTTATAATATTCAACCATTCGATCCTTTGGAAAATGATGATTTCGAGGGAATGTATGCCCATTATGAACTACCATTTCTATTTCTTCATACTTACCTGATCGATATTTTTTGCTATTAAAAATAGTGCCATGTGTAATATCCAGTAATGTAATTGGTCGCTTGAGAATTTTTTCTAACTCTGCTACATCTTGTACTCGAGCACCTGGAATACGCATTTTTTTCTCCCAATCATTTATTTTTTGCCGACGAATTTCTGTGAGTCCATGCCCTCGCTTAGTGTTATCAAA